TATATATATATAACAAGTACAATTGTTATGTGAACAAGTCTAAAGCCACAGGTCAATAATTCTCTGTGAACAACTATAAAACAACAAAACAAAACATACAAACTCACTGATAGCTCTTCTAAGTGTTTTCTACATAACCTGCTGTTGTTGTTAGGGTACCTTTCACCCATAGCGACCTGACCCTATATACAACAGAGAGAAAACACTGGCCATTCCTGCACCATCCTTAAAATTGTTACTACACTTGAGCCCACTGCTGCTGCTATGATGCCAATCCATCTCACTGGGGGGTCTCCCTTTATTTTGCTGACCCTCCACTTTACCAAGCATGATGTTCTTCTCTAGAGGCTGGTCCCTCCTGATAACATGTTTGAAGTATGAGAGATGAAGTGCTACTGAGTCAGTTCCAAGTCATAGTGCTCCATGATATGGCATAAATTTGATTCATATCAACTCCATGTGACAAAGGTGAACTGGCCCACATGCTTCTCTGAGCTGTAATCTTGACTAAAGTAGTTATTTTTCTCCCAGGGACATGCTGGGTGGGTCCTAATCTTCAATTTTCCACTTAGCAATCAAGTGTCACTGGCTCTTACAGGAACTCTAACAGTAACCTAGAGGACGTAATCCACTAACTTATTAATGGGCATGTTATAGTTGTTGGTGTTAAGTACCATGGAATCAGTTCTGATTCCTCTCAACCTTGTGTATAGTTTCTGAGGAGTGGCTGGTAGGTTTGAACTGCTGATGTTTTGGTTCAAGCAGACCTTGCAGCACAATGCATTATCCTGCAGCACCACACACCACACCAGGACTCCAATAATGGAATTGCTGTTGTTGGTAAATGCCACAGAATCAGTTCTAATAGCAACCCTGCATAGGGTTTCCAAGGTGCAGCTAGTGAGATTGATCCACCAACCTTTCAGTTCAAAATGACTTTGCAGTCCAGCACATTAGCCCGCAGTGCCACACCAAGGCTCCGTAATAATGGGATAGCAACTCATATAATTAAAAAATCCAATTGCTATCACGTAGATTCTTAAGAATTGCAACCCTGTATAGAGTATCTGGAGTCCTGGTGTGGTCCTGTGGTTTAATGCACCAGACTGCAAAGCCATTTGAACTGCAAGGTCAGTGGTTCAAGCTCACCAGCTACTCCTTGGAAACCCTATACAGGGTCACTATGGGTCGGAATCGACAGCACTTAACAACAAACATATAGGTTGTCTAAGGTGTGAGACAGGGTTGTATTCTTTCACCATACTTATTCAACCTGTATGCTGAGCAAATAATACGAGAAGCTGGGTTCTATGAAGAAAAACGTGGCATCAGGATTGGAGGAAGACTCATTAACAACCTGTGATATGCAGATGATACAACCTTGATCGCTGAAAGTGAAGAGGACTTGAAACATTTACTTATGAAGATTAAAGAGCACAGCCTTCGATATGGATT